AAAGGATTTTTGCGAGAGCTTGTTGCGGAGGGCTCCGGTACGCCGCAAGGATACCTTTCTTGCGGAATTTTCTGCAGCGCCGGAGTGTCTCGGTAACCGCAGCCGGACAGCTCAGCAGCCGGTGAGAGAGGTTTACATCTTTTTAATGACTTGGAATCACTGCGGCGCCGCACCCACCGCACCGCAACGGTAAGACCGGAGTCGGTGTGAGCCTGGGGATAAGGAGAGCTTTTCTGTTTTAATAAAGTTAAACCAGGTGGAACCTTTAGCCTGCCGTTCTTCAGGAGGTACGAACTCTTCTTCCTCCCTTTGGGGAAAACGACTCAGTTACACAAAAAAAAAATAAATAAATAAAACCTAAGTCCATAAAACCAGTTTAAATAGAAGATTTTGGTTTTTAGAAGATAAATATTAGAACCTGAACTCAGCAGGACATTAAAGCAACGAGAATAGAATTAGTCGAGATGGTTGTCTGTGTCCGTTAGCGTGCGCAGCAGCCGTCGCAGTGACCTCACTGCTCTGCAGTCACAACTCGTATCGCACTGCATAATTCTGCTTTCACCGCCATGCAGACGATAGCCGAGTTTTAGCGTTTCCTGCGGCTAATGACCGTTTTGCTGATTAATCCTTTTTTTGGATTATTAACCAAATGATCAAAGGTTCTTTAAAGAAGATTCACACAGAATTAAACAAAGCAAAGCTAAAACTGGCCTTTAGGACTTCTGGATAGAGCTTGTTTGTGAAAAAAAGTTTTTTCCTCTGGAATTCCAACAGTCTTTATATTTTTGGTATAATTACCGCTATGAGTGGGTTCCTCTTTCAGCTAGCGTTGATCCTGGATGTCCTGCAGGTTGTAGAGGTTTTCCTGCTCCAGTACAGCTAAGTTTTCATTGATTGCTGATTAACAGGCTTTTGTTAAACTGTGATCGTCTGAATGAGCTGTGCTGAAGCAGGGAGACCTCCAAACCTGAAATCCCGCATCCTCCGCAAACGCCCCGCCACAGAGCCTCCAGCCTCCACCGTTCCTCCCGTCTTGTTCTGCTCCGACTTCCTTAAAGCTCGAGGAGAGCATGCACTATATCATTATTAAATTAATAGGAGCAAAACATGCGGAAATGAGCCCTTAATTTCATATGATATATGAAATGATATATATTGAATCATATATTATATATAGACTACCGTTCAAAAGTTTGGGGTCACCCAAACAATTTTGTTTTCCTGCAAAGTCACACTTACCACTAAACGTTGTGAAATGAATAGAAAATAGTTTAGAAGGTTAGAAATAATGATTTGTATTTGAAATAAGATTTTTATTTTTTACGTCAAACTTTGCTTTCGTCAAAGAATCCTCCATCTGCAGCAATTCCAGCATTGCAGACCTT